CACCTTCTGGCCATGGCACCATACCCATCCCGAGCCCGAGACACCAACAATGCCTTGTTCCCCCGATCCATCTTTTTCCGCGCGCCGTTACGGATACTCCCTTCTGGCCCTGATCCACCAGCCACAACTCCGTTCTTGATGGCATGGAGCCAATCATGGTGTCTGCCCTGGATAATACCCTCCCAGCTTGACAGCGGATACTCTCGGCGTTGTGGCTCGTGCAACGGCTAGCCGCTCGGTAATGTGGCTGACCCCGAAAACAACCGAGGATATCCGAGGATAGGCGTTGGGCACACAAAATTTTCTGGTATACAAAGACAAGACATGTTGATAAGGGATGAAAGTGGGCTGGACTAGTCAATTTGTTTAGAGGCGTTTGATGTCACTGCCTTACGCATCCGACTGACGGATAAGTCTTCATTGGTTGGTATGATTTGCATCAATCCATGTGGTTGTCAGAGCGTCACTGAAATCGTTCCCGTCAGATCAGGGCAGCTCCTGATTGCTCAGCTGTTATCTATTTTTATTTAATATACATAATGTAGTTGTGTGGTTATCAGAGCATAAGTATATCATTATCTTTATTGTACTCTTTCTCTACCATCCTCCCCAGGCCTCCACTCATCTCGCTGGTGTCTTGTTCGCTTACTCGTTAACCTTGCTCCAGGCGGTAGGCACCTAGACTTATACCATATCATCTTATTGTATATTCACTATTGATCTCATTGTTCTACTAGTTATATCAAGGTTATAGTAAAATCCACGGGGCAACCATCTTCCACTATCACATATATGTCGGCAGTGTATCAACAATGCTACCCCACCACAGTGTACCCATGATGGCCAAATTCTATTAAAACTCACCAGGCCCCTTGCCGAAATGGCCCCCGGCAGGCACTGTCAGCCATGGCACGGAGTTCTGATCGTCGGTGTTCGATCCCACTGTATTTCCCCACCAGTTGAAGGTGGTGTTCGTGTACCCGAGGGCGAAGAAAATCACAATGGTGGCAATGGCCGTACCGGTATCCATCGCTGCCTGGAAGAGGTCTATTGAGTAGTGATTAGTATTGAGCACTTGACATCGTCTCACTGGTGGACGGGGAATACTCACAGTTGTACTTCTTCCACCAAGCCAAGGCACGTTTGCGAATGAGGTAGTTGAACAGGAATCCGAAGATGAACCAGAGCGAGTATTGTGCTGAGCCATGTTAGCATTTCGTTGTATGCTCAAATGGTAAGAAGGAGCAAACGAACTAGTATTGGCAGGAGGAATGTTTCCTGCAGCATTGAAGAAAATGGGTACGTTGACATATTTGACCCAACTCTGCGGATAACGTCGGTAGATCAGGTACACAATCACCGTCACAACGGGCTGGCTCTGTCAGCAAGTATACAACATATGAGGAGCAGGTCAAACATACACCGATGAGAAAGAAGTACATCAACGAGTGATAGACTTGTCCGGACTGGAACATCCGCTGTGGTCCAATGGTACCCCAGATCAGACTGGCGTTGTACATTACCTTGGCGCTGGCACAGGTAAATCGCTGGGCATTGTCGGTATCGCATAGGCCAGAAATATTGCCCATCATCCAGCGGAGCACTGCTGTTATTAGCTCGTGTCTGTTGATGGGTATTAACGTTCTTACCTCCTGTCTGAGTCATCGTGGCGAGGATACTGGCATATATCTGTCCGAAGAACAGAACACGGGGAGGAATTTTCTAGACCCGTTAATACTTGCAGCCTGCGATCTATCGGTTAGGCTTACCATGTACTGCCCCATTTTGAGGTCCTGAGCAAAGTCCATCCCGTGCTTAACGGCATTATACCCGTAACATTTGACCATCATGTTGGCAATGGGCTTGCCGGGCCACGCGTAACCGGCGATCAGCTCTGTGATAATATTGAGAAAGATGCGCTGGTTTGTTGTCCCCTCGAGGATACCTTCTGGGACAATGAGCACCACGCCCATTCCGCAACACACCACGATGAAACCCCAGACCGGCAAGCCTGTCTCCCAATACTTCGTGGTAAGGATTCCCAGGCCCGCCATGACAACGAACAACGCGCCGTACCACCAATCCGGAACTTCAGGGTAAGCACGCATCAAGCGACGATGAATGTCTTCACCACCGTGACGAGCGTTCTTGAACTTGGCCCAGATCTCGGATCCGTTGTAAAGGTAGGTGTGAACCACGATGGCTGTCACCGCCGCGAAGGACAAGCCGTAGGTGAGCGTGTACGACATGGAAAGATACATTGGCGAATACTCTTTGTATTTACTGAGGACGAAATCCCCGTTAGAGTTGACGACTCGGGTCACATTGTATTCGCTTCCGGTGTTGTCGAAGGTGGAAGAAGAGAGCAAAGGCAGGCTGAGCATGCTGTTAACAGACATCTCCATGTGTATCCAAGGTTAAGCACTCACTATGCGCTAAACCAGACATCCTTGTAGTATAGGATTGGGGAGAGGAAGAGGTAGAAAAAGACTACCACGGCAAAGGCATTGCAGGTAATGTAGAAAGGGGTCATGAGAGGGTATCCGGCGTAGTTAATCTGCGTCCAGTCCAGACTGAGCGGCAGCAGCCCCAGACCCGAGTCCATCTACCCATGTCAGCAAGCCTATGGAAGCATACTGTATGTAAGACTTACACCAAAGATAGTGTTGACCTTCTGGTTGTGCGGTGCAATCCAAGTGACGAATGCAAACGCGCTAAGAGTTGTCCAGATGTAGTCGGGGAACCAGTAGATGGCAAAGGCAAACAGAGTCGCGTACCCAAAGAAGCTATACCGACTCAGTCTCCAACCATTGGCGGGTGCGGTATTTTGGGGCTCATGCAGGGCACGGAACAAGACCGTGGAGGATAGAGATTGAGGCCAAATCAAGGCCGCAGGATAGACAAGCCAACGCCGGCACATTCCAGCAAGGCCGAACCTATATTGTCAGGCAGGTGTGCTGGTGGGAAGTGCGATTGGAACACTTACCCCATCATTTGCGAGGTCAAGAGGTATAGGAATGAGAACCCCGCCCCGTAGTCCTTGCCCCAATATTGCGGCATAACGATGGCTACGAGGGAGCTGGAGGCATAAGCAGTTGAGGCACTGATGTTCACACACTGGTTCAATTAGCCTTTGGGGTATAAACGCCATAGTATACTTAATTGCTCTTACAATGGTAATGAGTGCATGCTCCTTGATGCTGAACGGCCCCGGGTTCAAGTCAAAGGACAATCTTCCAAGAGGTATCCTCCATCGCGGCAGCCTCTCCCATCCTCGTCCGATGGGGTAGACGAGTAACTGAGCGACAACATATTGGACAGTGAGGGATGGCTAAACAGTTAGTTCCAGACACGACGTACAAATGGAGGTTCGCACGTACATATCGCAGACTGAAAAATTGATTGACTGCCGCGAAGACCATAACAAATATCGTGGTCAGAACCCATGCCCGGAATGCTGTGTCACATCAGTATGTTGGCCAGTACACCCCTCCATTCGCCTGGACGGAATTGACTGACTGTTGCATGGTAAGGTAGGATCATCGGTGTTTGGCACACACGCAGCGACTTCTGGAACTGAATAACCTCTATCAGTGAACGAACCACATCAGCCAAACAGGCCAGCAATACTCACAGGGCGATTGGTCCCCCTCAACGTTCCACTTGAAGGCCTCGAGAGGAGTAAGCTCCTTCTGTTCGGCGACAATGTTCTGCCTTTTCAGATCATCATTCTCCTCGAGCAGCTCGGCGTCCACGTCGGTGACACCAGCTTGCTTAGTCTCGATGGCATCTTTGGCCTCATTTTCTGGATGATGAACCGAATCCATGCCTGCTGCCTCCTGAGTAACAAAGAGGACAACGTTTGGCGCAGGAGCGACCGAATGAGCAAGCCTTTGTAAGGGATATGCACCGAGGTCAATAATATTACCCAGGAGCGCCCATAGACCCCGCGGATACCTGCATCTTATCTGTCACAACGATTGAGCAGGTACCACAAAAGTGGCAGGAGTAGCTGCAGTCTGGCGATAGTCCCACCGTAAATGATAACAATCCGCAGGTGAAGCACACCATCCTATCGGGGGAGACGCTTAGCAGATTGGTTCCCTTGCTCCTAACCCCAGCAGGCCAAGACCGACCGTGAAGCTCTAGCGGATGCAGTGTCACCAACCGTGAAGGTTTGTGATAACATGCCGCTCAGTCCACGAGTCATATCCACTTTCAATGGTGGCATCGGAGCGCCCGACATCGGATGGCCATTGTGCATATTTCGGCGCCGTTCTGGAGTCCCGCGCGAAGTTTTAGCCAGAGGAGTCGCCATGTAGCAGGCAGCAATCATCCAGGGTTGACGAGCCCTACCAAACACCATTGGGGTCAACTCTTGCGTCTTCTATACTAAATTCATTGATTAAGGTGGTCCGACGTTGATTCTGTCTTTTGGCGTTGGATGGCGTGCTGGAGCACCGTGTTGCCTGGCCTTATCGCCGACAGCGCTGAGGGGCCAGGATGGAGCTAAGGATGGGAGCTAATCGATGGTCGATCAACCATCTCCTCCAAGCTTGTTAGCACGTTAATCTACTTATCGGAGTTCAGCTTATTGGCCGCGAGTCTCCGAATCCTGGTCAGGGCTAATTGCTACTCCATTCCCCGCTTTTCGAGAGGTATTCTCCCGGGAGCCATCGCGCTCATGCCCTTGTCACTCCCTGCAGCGGGTGGCAATCGTGTGATCAATTCACGCTGATTTGCTCCCTATTAGAGTGAAAAAAAATGCGAGTTAGTGTGTTGGGGTGGGGTAGTACCCAGATTCAGGTCTTACATTCCCATCAGCCGACATCCTGGTTAGTAGAATGCAGCTAAGGCAGTAGGGAGCTGACAGGTGATAAGATGTCATATTTGTCTCTTTTACTAGAGTTTACATGGTCCCCACAACTACTCTGACACCACGTTTGTAGATAGACACTCCTCTTGCATCCACAGTGGCATGGTCTGGACGAGGCCCAGCAATGACGAACACAGTCAGTGTGTGGATACTTGTGCCTAGACGTACGGAGTTCTATCCCAAGAGAGCAGGTCTGGCCAGTGGCCGCGGACGCCAGCCTTAAAGGATTTAGTTCAGACAAAGATGGGGGTGAAATTTCCAGCGGATGCTCCCAAGACAAGGCCAATACACGACAAGCATTGTGGTAAGAATAACCATGGCCATGGCTCACATATACATGGAAGGAAGCAGAAACATCTAGCTCCTGATTGGATTGTTTTGCGCCAGAAGGTGTCCGAGCGAGCGATAGCAGAACCTTCAGCTGCGGTCAACGCCGATCGCCCTGGTGTCCCGGTCAGCTGGCCCTTTTCAACCTAATGCTGCATATATACAACCAGTTGGCTGGTTATATTTTGGAACCAAATGTTCCTAGATACTTTCTCGCTAATGGTAGTCGGCTGCCAGGACATTGCCGATCGCCCTGCGCAAAAATCAATTAAAAAAAGCAACTCTTTCCCACAATCAAACTGGGATGGGCAAGTTCAATACCACTTCTGGGGTGTCCGAGCCGAGGTTACATTATAACCATGCTCATCGGTCTCACTATTTGTTCTTTGGGGTAATGCATCCCTTGCACCGACCTCGCGTACCGTCTGAATTTGAGTGCCGCAAGGGAAAGACCGTTCAACACCAATCGTCTCTTCGTTTGTCTCAAATGCAGAAAAGCAAGGAGTTCTGATATAATAACCGAGTCAAGCAATAATCAACCCGCCCGCCGAGCGGTACGATGTTAGAATATGCGCCGTGAAATGTGGCCGATCATAATGCCCAGCAGGTACCAATCTGGTGTGCAGGACGGTCTGGTAATTGCCAGAATATTTCAATGTTGTCGTCGCTTACAATATGTTCCACTGCCTACATGAACTTGGAGGATGCCGTCTATAAGAACGGCAGGCATAGAGCCAAGCCGTGGGGACGGTGGATGACATGGGCCGGACATAAGATCGGCGATAACGGTGGAGAGCGAAAATCATCGTTGCAAACAGTGTCTGCCCCTCCAACACAGCATTATAGCGTTCTCTAAGTGTCAGTTCGAGCAGTGCTACCGCTCATCTTGCACGTCGCATCTCTACGTGGATCAGCCATGCGGGAAGCAGTAGGTGGACATTCGGCTGCTCACCGCGACTCCACATCACCGCCGCAGCAGATTGAACTTAGACTCGAGGATGTGTGGATCGGTGTGACTGATCCGAAGGAAAGGCGCAGGTTGCAGAACAGGTTAAATCAGAGGGCCCGAAGTAGGTTGGCGAACGAGTCTCTGCCGAGTGGGCTGGCTGACGATCCAGATAGGGCGACGTCAGCACTTGACTAAAGCGCTGCCCGAAAGATCTGAGCCATACTATCCTCACGCGTGGTCTACAACGGCGTCGACGCCCTATCAACTCGATTTTCAATGTTTGGATGAACTCCGTATCTTTGGTCCGCTTGCCGCAAACTCCCGCAGTATCCTGCAGCAACTAGAGGCTATGGTGCATGTTGAGTTTGCAACTGGCTCACCACACGCCGATATGCGATTAGGAATAACTCGGTTAAACATTTTGTGGGCATTGTACACCAATGTTGAGATTTTGGGTTATAATGCCAAAGATATGGCGGCTGACGAGGCGCTATCAATGTTTGCCCTGATTGGACCACGATGTCTAGCAACAATCGGTCGGGAGGCTCTCCTGCCACCTGCATTGCAGCCAACAGAGATTCAACGAACCGTGCCCCATCATCCCTGGCTTGATCTCATCCCCATACCTAGGATGCGCGACAATCTGATTCTGATGGAGAATTTGATGGACGATCGCCAATTGTGTCGGGATATGTGCGGCTACCGCTCTCAGATACCTCGGTCGGGGCATAGACGTCAGACGGGGATAGGAGAAACGGGCGTGATCGTGTGGAAAGACCCCTGGGATCCCGCTGGCTGGGAGATCACCGAGACCTTTTGGGAATTGTGGGGATTGACCGTCAAGGATTGCTGGAACTTGTTTCGTTCCACCAATGCATGGCGGATGCGTCGGGGAGAAAGGCCACTCTTTGTAATACCTTATGCCGGTAACGACTAGTGTAGTGAGAATGCATATCCTTTCGGAATATACTATCTCGTCTGTGGCTTTGATCATGTAGAGGGAGTGTCATTAGATCGATCTCCTACTACAGCCTACTCATAGGTGGAGTATGGGTGATATATAAATTTGGTCAAACCAAGGGTTGAGTCAGTGACGGATGTTATCATCTGGCGATTGCCAATGGACACATAAACCTGAGTATATTCACTGATTATACGTCTCTTCTATTTATGATAAGGTGGTAACAACAATCGGTTTCAACGATGGAGCGTATAGGCGACGTGCATACCCTCGATGATCCGTAGAAGTCAGCCAGCCATCATCGCCAGGGAAAACCGCGGCTTTTCCCGATTTGGCTTGATTGTCAGCATTTAATGCTGCACTAACCCCATTCGGTACACCGTCTAACCCGAGAAGGTTAGCTGATCGGATTATGAGAGACGCTTATCTCGGAGCCTGAGGCAAGAAGTTAAGAAATGATCGTGACAGCCAGATAGCCTGCGTGAAGAGCTCGTGGATGTCATCAGTCAGAGGCAGGCACATCCCCGTTACCACTACTGTTGTGAAACATTCAGATGTGGAGATACCTCTTCCACCACTGACACGATCGCGAGCGGGATTGGGCATCACTGCGACTCGATGGGTAGGACAGAAAAAGCACACAGCTGCAGTCATACTCCTCAGGACAGAGATGCATCCATTCCATTGATTTCATGACATTACCATGATAGTAAATTCCGGGATTAACAATCAAAGATAACAACTGATATGCACACAATCCAAGCTCACAACACCAGACGCCTCCATCATGTCCTTCAATTATAATAATACACCCCTTGATCAGACATACCCTTTCCACACGTTAAATCAATCCTTCTTTTGATGGCTCGGTGCACGACCGACTCTGTTCTCGCCCGTCTGCCCGCCAACCATGGTATTGATGTCCTTTTGCGAATATAGCTTCTCTTCCTTGCTGGGCGACTGCGCGCGGAAGAACATCCAACCACCAGCGATCATTCCGATCACACTGAAGATGGCAATGTTGCGAGAGCTGCAGTGGTCAATAATCCACGCATGATACATTCGAGAATGAAGAGAGCAGAGACATACCGAACAGAGGGCGGGTGACCGCCAGTAAGACCTCCAGCAGCAGCCATTGTGTTTGAGGACGGTAGAAATGTGGACTATTGAATTACTAATTCGATATTGAGTAGCGCGATGTATTTTTGAATTGTCAAGTATAAGCAACGAGGGCTTCAATGTTAATATAGCTCTAGATTTGATGGCGGATGGGTGACGTCAAAATTAAGCGTCCGTCGGGAGAGCGACAGTCGGTTCGTGTTCCGGCGGATAAGCTCATAACCTCTTTGTGCTCTTTCAGAAGCTGGCTTTCTACTTTTACGAGCTTGCGTCAGGGCGACGTTATCATGGAGGAACCGAGGAGATCATGTCCTGCAATGAAGGATCCCTCATAGTGTAATTATTTAGTACGCGGTAGCGGGTTGGTTTGCACGAATACTATGTTGGCTGATTTATTAAGCACAATCAAAATAGTGTCAGGAGACCCATACCATGAATAGCTTGGTCTATAACTAACAAGATCTGCCTTGAAGGCAGTGGCAGGTAGGGCAGACTAGTCACGACATGCTCATCATGACACGAGACACATTGAGCTACCAGCAATCAAAGTAACCCTAAGTATCACATACACGAAAAATGCAATTCTACTCAATATTCAAGCTTCAGACAGTGAACTCAAACAAGTCTAGCCCCGTCGCGAACCCAACCCGATCGATAAAGTGCGGCAACGGAAGCTATACAAAGCACCGACGTCATCGAGTCCGGACCGCGGCGATCGATCGATCCACATTCTATCCATTCTCAACAATTCCAATGTTATCGCGAAAACCCAAACCTTTGTAATATTCCACCCACCAACCTCAACCAGAACGCAACGCACACACACAAGAAATGTGCACCAAACGTCCATCTTCCCCCTACTTCTTCGGAGGACCGCAGTAAGTCCATCCATCTAAACCATCACGTCCAATTCGCCTAACAAACGACCAATTCAAAGACGTTGGTCCTCCACCGATTGGACCTCCTCCGATGACCGTGTCCGCGGTGGCTCTTCGCAATCTCACCTCACCACTAACGACGACACCAACACCGCTACCTTCCATGGCAATCTCGACATCAAGACCCTCGGCGGAGCAGGCTTCGCCTCGCAACACACAGCCAGCACCACCGAGTTATGGGATCTGAGTAGCTACGCTGGACTGGAACTCTCTGTCCCTAAGAGTGATGGACACACATACACTTTGAATCTGAGGGATGAACTGCAAGATCCTCGACCGGATGGGCGCCAGCGGAGCGGGTTGGTCTGGGAGGCGAAGTTCAAGGTCGAGAAGGGGCAGAAGAAAGTAAAGTTAGGGTGGAGGGAATTTCGGCCGACATATCGTGGGAGGGAGGTGCATATGGGGAGACCCTTGGTCTTGGCGGGGGTAAAGCAGTTTGGGATTATGATTCGGAGGTGAGTGCCTTTTTGCATCGGTTGGTTGGTCTGGGGCTGTTGGTCTGGTGCTGACATGGTTGTGATAGTTTCTTTGGGGAACAGGAAGGGGACTTCGAATTGGAAATAGAGTGGATCAGGGGCATTAAGAAAGAAAAGGAACGGTATAGGGATGACCCAAATGATTTTGATGATGGGGAATATTATGATGAGAAGCGTTTTAGCGACGATCAAGAAAGCAGGGGCCTAGGATGGCTATGCTGCTGGTGATTATGCTAGATTACCTCTATCAAGAGACACCAATAAACACCAAATTGAACAACTAATATCCACTCATAGTTCAGCACTTTCTGCATATTCGCCCGTCTTGACAAATGTCTCAATCAGACGAATTGTTCGACCCAGTTTGACAGAATCCTCCGCCCCCACCGTCAAGGCCACATAACTGATCTCTTTCTTCGAGTCAATGACCCATGCGTTTATAAGCAACCTTCCTTGTGCAATCTCTACCGCAAACAGTTCCTCAAATGCATTTCGTGTGCAGGGGATTTCCAGGCGGGAGAGAACTGCCGCTTCATATAACCCGCGCTGCATGAAATGGTTCTTGAGCAGTCCCAAATGGTAAGATCCAGTAACGCGCGGGTTGACGTCGACAATCAAACGCTCCCCATTCGCGTCCGTCATGACATCAGCTCCCGCCGGCCCGTAGTACCCTTTGCTGTGTAATGCTTGGGCCAAAGCATCTATCGTAGATCTGTATCGATTCTCGAACACAGGCTGCAAAAGGTACGAGACGCACCCACCATTCCAGACACCTTCCTCGTCGAAACGTTGCCGAGATGTTGCGAGGTACACTGCCCGGCCCTTTTTCGTAACAAAGAATGTCACCCCATGGGCTTCCCCTGGTACTAGCTCCTGGATCAGAAAGCTTGCAGGATACAATCGCTCATGCTTTTCATTGATCTTGCCAAGTACGTCATGGAGAATCCCACGTAGCTCACACACAGCAGCGTCTCTATCCGACCCACTTCGGATAACGTATGTTCCATATCCTGAGGTAGCAATAGACACTTTAACCACAAACGGGAGGCGTTGCTGCTGAACACTTTGCAGCATTCGTTCGACTTCCCCATCGCAGCCTGCTTGCCAGGAATTGATTGGTAGCGGGTCAATGACCTTGGACTTTGGTGTTGGCAGACCGCTCACTGCTACCCAACGCTTGGACAGGACCTCGTACAGCGTTTCTGGATCCACAGCATGATGAAACCGTGTACACATGTGATCTTGCGGAACAATGAATACTGCACGCAAGTCTGCAGCTATCTGGCTATCGTAAACACCACGAATGAATTGCACGTCAGGCCGTTGGTCCGGGCTTAGTTGATCGTAGATGCGCAGTACTTCGTCCTGAGAGGTTGCCAAGATGTTGGAAAGGTCATTATTACCATCTCCACTCTGGTCTAACATCACAACAGGAGTACGGCCAGCCATAAAAGAATAACGTTGAGCAACACTGCGCTTCTGTAGGTTCGGCGCCTCCCCTTTTGTATGCGCACCAGGGAAGTTGGCAGCGTACAGAAACCGTGCACCCGAAGGGAGGCTGATTTGATCTCGGGGGAACTTGCAGGGGTGATCATAGACGAGAACAATGTTTTGGGGGGCATCATTATCCAAAGAGTATAGATCATGCAGGGTATAGTCGAGCGCGATATGAACTTTAGTATTAGGTGCCTTAGTCGAGGTATATGGCTCAGTTGGCACCAGTGGCAGTGGCTGGAGAAGTGTCACAGCAGTCATGGTGTTCAGTCAATTGATAGATTCGATGTTATTTTATTGAAAATCTCCCTTCGTCAGATTTTCACTTGGACTTCAAGTCCGTGAGCATTTATGCGGAAGCCATCCCCAGTCAGCAATAACACATGCCACATTGTCCACGGAACAAAGACATCAGGACTACCAGATAGTTATTGTTTCCTGGAGTCAGTCGACGTCAAGAGACGTCATGAGGGAAGTTGATTGCCGTTCGCAGTCGGAATTTTCGCGAAAGTTCACTAATTCGCCGCGGACCGGTAGCCTACTACTCATCTAGATAACCAAAGATAGTACCGGTGGTTGAAGCGAGTGGACAATGATTAGAGTCATTGATTCTCTTCCTGGTTCAACAAGTGGGTTGCCGATCTCTCCACGACTGAGACGAGTCCTGCAGATCGATGTAACCCTGGGAAGTTGTGGGTTCGGGTATATCGGGACCCGCATTTGGCAGGCCGAGATCTCCCAGTACCTTCATGCCAAATCCTGCACGAGGCTTTGGCTTCAGGAGGACTCACACTCAAGGCCAAATCAATCAAGGTTACTTCGTAGTAATTCCAACCCCAGTGTAGCTTCCTTAAATGTTAGCAAACAGGGAATTTCGAGGAAGGGAGTGAACGGGAATAAAGCGTGAAGGGAAGGGAAGTATCATCCAGGACGCTTATTTGCTGGCTCCACCAGTCCAATGACTAGTTGCCTACCAGGGCAGTTTGGCTTTCCTCAGTAGTCTAACTCTGCCATCCTGGCAAGCCAGTGCGCTCACCACTCTCCCAGCAAAGCTTTTGAGCTAGACATTTGCGGTAATGGTTTCCATTCTTTCATGTCCCCGGATATGGCCGAGAAACTACCACAGGTGTCCAGGGTGGCTTCATGCCTATAGTAACCTTCCTAGCTGTACCCAATCATGGCTAGGGTGCTCCACTATGAACAATGGACTGTCAGGATGCTGTTTAGCTCGGCCCGTGCTTTTGCTTGATCAACCATTCATCCATGGCTGAATGGCGCATATCTACCATGGCATATTCGCTAAGACTTCCAGAGCTTTAAGTGAGCATAATCAAATCAAATTAAAGAGGCTATAGAATCCCGCATGTCAGCCGTTCAATTCCATGATGGCATACGTCAAACTCAGTTTACATCTCCTGGTTCTCATGTTCCTGAGTGTGGACTTTGCTGGGCGCACAAGAAGCGGCCTTCAGAGTCTTGATATCATCTCGGCGTCCCCGAAACTCTAGACTGCACTCTGAACGGGGGGAAGGTAGTTTACCTATGCCGCTCGGACGGCAGTAGAGTCCCACGAGTGCAAGTCTACATTGAAGCAGAGATTGCAAGATCACATACATGGTTTGCCAAGAATTGGGGGAGTCATTCAACAGAGGCGAGTGGCATGATGTTCGATGCCGTCCCCGAGGATCAGGTCAGCTGTACAAATGTATCGAGCCATAAGAGCAGGCCTTGCTCATTATAAGCATATATTTTGGCAGCAGAATTAGCTTTCGGAGTCAACAAAAAGCTAACGTGTGTAACATGCGGAAGGTGTGCAGTTGTTCAGGGCACCTGCGATGGACGATGCTGTCCTGAATTGTCACCGAACCCATTCATTCATCCCATATATCCAGCGTGGATATAGGAATTAGCACGATTTGGGTGTATTATTTTCCTCTTCGCAAAATAAAGCCGTGCTATATGTAGGAACCCAGTGGCCTTGAAATATAGCCATAAAAGCTTTATGTCGTGCACAAGTTCGACTGCCGTATCCTCCGCTTGTTGCACAAGCCTTGAATGCGGGGAGGATGGCTGGGAGACTGTAACAACCCCATACTTGAACCGACAACTGTAACCTTCTCCCATCTTGGCGTCGGTGGTTCCTGTGCCGAGGAGGGCGTATTGCATGAGCAGAAGTAGTAAGCTTGACTTTAAGGGACACAAAGGGGTGTCTCGGATACCCTCCGAATGGAACTGATCCAGTACATCCCCCGAGACAACAAGCTTCCATTGACAATAAGTAGTACAGTGGTAGTCATGCGATGGAAGGAACCAAAACTGGATTGGAAGTTCCGTAGAAGTTGAGGTCTAACGAAGAGCTTAAATAGACCTAGCTTTCCCCAGAAGGCATCATTCTCGAACTCGATCACGACAGGACCCACTATCAGATTGTCGACCCAAGAGTTGATCTCTATTATGTATGTACAACTTCGATCTATATTGTAAGTATGCTAACACACCAATCAGCATCATCATGAGATTCACCCTGCTCACATCCATGGCCCTCCTGGGTCTTGCCCTCGCTGGTGCAACGGAGTCCAACACTGATGATGTTGGCAGCACCAAGGTTACTGATGGCACTCTCGATGTATGAGCCATAAACCACAATTCAGTCTGCAAGCCTAACTCTCATTGCCTCAACAGGTAAACTACTGTGGCGAACGCTGCGAATACGACTGGGAATGTCGCCGCGGATATCGTTGCCACGAGTGCCGCAAGCAGCACCACGAGGTGAGTGTACCTTGTTCTCTGCTGGATCGCCTACTGATTGTGGTTTCTAGCGCTATGGCCGCTGCCGCGAACGATATGACTGAGCTTATCCTCGATGTAGCCTGGCAAGGCCAGGTGTGCAGAAGGAAGTACAGTGGTCGAAATGGAAGTTGAAATAAGCCGTTACCTTAGGATCAGATACGGAATGGAAGATGTTGCTGCGGTAAAGTGAGTGCAATCCCGTAGTCGGTACCTTTCAATGCCAGTAAATTGTTAGTAGAATGTACAGTGGTATATACCGACACGGCAGGTACCAGCAGAAATGTTGTGATGCAATAGGGACAGTATACTACTTGCCGCTTGATTCATCAACAGATTACTATTGCATCGCTGTCGATTTCACGTTGCAGTGAAGTGTGTTGGCTAATTCTGAATGATCAGCTGTTACACTGGATAATTTACTGTATGTCTCAGAGCCAAGTCAGTTCATAGCGCGTACAATGTCGGACAACAGATGAACCGTATCAGTGCTTCCACGCTACAGGGGATCCGACTGCAGCGAATAAAGACAGTGCGTGGGCCGTATTCGAGTGGACCCTGATCGTGGCCCCATATATTCCTGGAATCTAAATTGGGGTAAGCCTAAAAGTACTATCTCACAGGATACGGGTCGTAAGGATCATGATGACTGGAAGATCGTGAGGGATACTTAATGTCTGCGTTTGAGGCCGAATCTCACATTTTGCAGGGAGAGTTCTGTTCACAAGGCGGATGGATGAAGTACTTAGTCTACTAATACCTGGCCAGGAGAATCTAGACTGTACAAACCCTGGAAGCTATGCTTAGCCAACGCATCCATTGAAGGTACATAGGACCAGTTCTTGGAGGCGTCTGATGTGTGAAATGTTGGGTGTGACTGGTCGATGTGATACGGAATTATTCCGGCATCGGATATCACCTCAACGTAGCCGAGGCAGCGCATGTATAAAGAGCATCAAGTGGAATCTTTTATTAATCATAGGAAATCAACCTATTATCCACAATGCGAGTCTATTCCTCGATCGACTCTAGCAACGCCCTCGCCTTCCACAACGGTCGCGTATATACCATCAACGACGACCAACCCTGGGCCGAGGCATTTATTGTATCCCCGACGGGGGTTATCGAACACATTGACAGGAATGCAGCCATCTTGGAGATCGCCTCGGCTCGCGGCCTCATCCAATATGACCTCCGCCAGCGCTTCGTCATGCCGGGCATCCACGATGCCCATACGCACCTGCTCGTCGCCGGCCTGCAAGGGCTGAACGAAGCCCGCATCGGCTTCGACTCGACGCCCGACAACCTCACATCTCGACTCGCTAAAGGTTCCTGCGCATGCGCCTACGCCAATGTTACCGGGGACTGGCTCATTGGAAACTTCTACCAGGCCAGCCATTTTCCCAACGGCGTGCCCGATCGCAAATACCTAGATGATCACTACCCCGATCAGCCCGTGCTCATCCGCGAAGTCTCCTGTCATCGAATCTTGCTAAATACGGCTGGGCTTATCCGTGCTGGAATTGATCCTAATGGCGCCCCGGATCCAGATGGCGGGTACTACGTCCGCCGAAAAGATGGAATAACCCTCACCGGGGAAGTAGTCGAGAACGCCATGACAGCGGTTTTTGACTGTCTGCCTATCCCGCCGTTGGCGCATGTCAAACGCGCGATTCACCATGCGATGTCTATATGCCACAAATATGGAATCACGTCCTGCCAGGAAGCGTCGGCGAATACGCTCTACTTACATGCTGTGCGAGAACTGGAGTTGGAGAACCGGCTGGATCTGGATATCCATACGCACATTGTGTCAGCGCCGGTGTATTTCGCCATGGAGCCGCAGGATAGTCTAGCCGGGTTGCTTGATGTGGCGGAGGGATTCAGAAGCCGACATGTGCATACTCAATTTGTGAAGTTCTGGCTGGATGGGGCTCCACTGCCTCCAGAATTCACGCAGGCGGATCTGGATGCGAATGGACAGCCGATTCCGACGCATTTGGCGCTGGATAAAGACTTCCTGTACAAGGCCGTGAAAAAATATGATGGCCGGGGCATGTCGTGTAAACTGCATACCGCCGGTGAGGGATCTGCTCGACTGGCCCTAGATGTCATCGCCAAGGTGCGGGAAGGGAATCCGGCTGGTCCCAGACACGAGCTTGCTCATTGTAATGCGGTGCACAAGGGTACGTATATTTCGGCTTGTTGAAAGATTGCACGGGTTAATGAAAGTGTCAGATGACATCGCGCGGTTTGCTCCGTTGAAAGTGACTGCGGAAATGTCACCCGCCATCTTCCATCACGACGTCGTGGAAGAGTATCCCGAACTCAACAAATGGGCGTTCAACGGGGTGCTCGCCTCGGGCGCACTCATGACCATTGGCTCGGACTGGATGCTCCCCGAGACGCCATCATTATTTGATGCCCTGGCTGCGATTGTTGAACGCGTCCGATACAAACCTGGAGGGCGATGCCGGCGTCTCGCGTTGGGGGAGACGGCGATGCAACGCGGAGGAGAGATCCTCTGTCGCGTTCTGACGCTCAGCGGAGCAGAGGCTGTTGGGGCGCAGCATCGCACTGGGAGTTTGGAAGTGGGCAAGATGGCCAATTTTATTGTCGTCGATCGGGATTTGAGCCAGGGGAATTTCAAGGGTGCGAACGTGCTGGAAACGTGGTTTGAGGGAAGGAAAGTGTATCAGGCGTAAGGCTGACGGAAATTGTACGTCCTGCCAAGCAGTAAGTAGGGATGGTTACATTGTTGAATGAAATCATTGTTGAGTACAGGCCGCGTACAAGCCATTCTGCTGTTGCTGCCTGTTCCAAATCCCAACGTTAATCTAGTCTATATAGTCAGGGTCCCCGCACTAACACAACTAACCGAACCGGGCTGAACTTCAACATCTTTCATAATCTTACCTTTAGCCTTCACAGCCATGTCAAGTAATACCCATAATGTCCACCTGCTCGAGTTCGTCGCGCAAAAGCGCTTTCACCAGCGGATAGTTCTGCCTGCTACTGCACACCATGGGCGGCTTGCGGTTACCTATGCAGACATCGGACCCCGGACAACGAAGGATGGCTCACCCACCCCGACTATGCTACTAATTCAGGGAATGGCAGGATCCCGGCTATGGTGCTGCCAAAAAGATCATCTCGCTAACAAACTGGAGGTCAGAATGATCTCCATCGACCGGTATTCTTTGTCACTCTCTCTTTCTTCATGGATGAAAGCTGACATCTTAGGCCCGGAATTGGCGGTTCAACTCCCGTTCCACCTGGACAACGAGTCCAAGTATTGGCTGGAGACAGTGTCAGCGGTGTTGGAACACCTATCCATTAAGCACGTCGTCCCTATATCTCACAGTGCCGGCACTATCTACATCTTGAATTTGTTGATGCATCGACGCGACCTGCTGTGCCCGAAAACGCCAATGGCAGTACTAATGGGTTAGCTTATCTTTCGCTATCGATTAAACTCACAGCAGGCTAACATTTGCAGCGCCGTGGGTGGAGCCCAAACACTCGGAAATTCTCTCCTTACAAATGGCGAGGATGATCCCCACTGGCGTTCTGAAGCAATGGAACAAGGTGATGAAATTCGTGGTCACCAAAGCGGTCCCTTCGCTCTGCTCGAGTGTGGAGGTTCTCGCCTCGATGGGCGGCAGTATCCCCCGTGCGTCCAAAGAAGACATTGAGCACCGTGAACCAAATCTTATTGCAGATGAGATGGACCCACGGACCGCCGAGGAGGTGGAAAATTTATGCATCGAGTATATTTTCCTGGAGGATACCACGGGAATGAACGATGAAACTGTTGTCTGCCTGAAGAAGTCAACCGGGTTATGGGGAGTCTGCGAAGATCTCCCGATCTATATCCGCTGGCTGGTGCGGGCAGAACTGTGGTACCAACAAGGCCACCCGGAGGAGAAGCAGCCTTTGCAGATCAGGGCTATTTTCGTAGAGAAGGATGGGATGATTGGACCCAAGGGACAAAAATACTTCGAGGACTGCTTCGCCAGATCCGATCTCAACGGTGTGGTCTCGTTTGAATCGGTCCTGGAGAAAGGGACGAGTCATGACACGCTCTGGGGCTTGGACACAGCATTCTTGAAGATGCTGAGAGATATTAAAGACACGATATCTCAGTAGATTTGCCATTCACTCTTCTGTGTGCTGGTTGCATTGCATGGCGGCATCCTCGAAACAGCAGGGCTTCCCATCCGAATATCCGAGAATGGCCCATTTGTCAGCAAATCCCCAACCCGAAAATGTCACCATCGGAGGGTCAATTATTAATTCAATTCAACCTCACAGACGCGCTGGGTATAAAACCCACCCTGCCATTGTTCATCATGTCTCCTTCGCTACAGCAATTGCCTCTCGCTCCCTTCCTCCAGACCTCTCCATCGCCATGGGTTCCGTCCAACAAGCCCCCCGTGTGATCCCCTCCGCCGAGACTCCCTACTTCACCCCCGCCAACAATGGCGGAGAAGCCCTCAACCCCGCCGACCCCAACACTCCCACGCTCTTCCGCCCTTTGAAGATTCGCGATGTGACCCTCAAGAACCGCGTCGTCGTCTCGCCTATGTGCATGTACTCCGCCGAAAGCGATACCTCTTCTCCCTTCGTTGGCGCCCTCACAGATTACCACATTGCCCACCTGGGCCAATTCGCTCTGAAAGGCGCCGGTCTCGTCTTCGTCGAAGCCCAGGCTGTCCAGCCCAACGGGCGCATTTCCCCCAACGACGCGGGGCTATGGGAACATTCCCCCGAATCGGAACAATTCAAGAGTCTGCAGCGCGTGGTGCGGTTCTGTCACAGCCAGGGTGCCAAGGTAGCCGTCCAGCTCGCCCACGCGGGTCGCAAGGCGAGTGTGCTCCCTCCGTGGGTAGCCGTACAGGCCAAGAAGCCCTGCGTCAAGGCGGATGAGAGCACAGGCGGATTCCCGTCCGAGGTGGTCGGGCCCAGCGGTGGAGCGGACCAGGCCTGGGATGGAACTGGGGAGGGATACTGGGCGCCTCGGGCCTTGACGGTCGAGGAGATCAAGGAGATAGTGCAGGCCTTCGCCAAGAGTGCGGAGACGGCCATCCGGGCTGGTGTTGACGTGATTGAGGTTCACGCTGCTCACGGATACCTGATCAACCAGTTCTTGAGCCCGGTGACCAACAAGCGGACGGACGAGTATGGAGGCAGCTTCGAGAACCGCACACGCATTCTCCGGGAAACCATGACGGCCATTCGGGCGGTAGTCCCCAGCGGTACCCCGTTGTTCCTGCGGATCAGTGCGACGGAATGGCTGGACGGACAGGCTGTTGCGGCGGAATCAGGCAGCTGGAACATGGAGAGCTCGCTCAAGCTTCTGCCTCTGCTTCCAGAGCTCGGAGTCGACCTCTTGGATGTCAGCTCCGGGGGTAACCACCATAGCCAGAAGATCAACATCCACACCAACTACCACATCGATCTGGCCGCACAGGTGCGCAAAGCCATCCATGCGACCGGCGCGAAGACGCTGGTGGGCGCGGTCGGATTTATCACCGAGGCCGACCAGGCCCGGGGACTCGTGGAAGGCGCCGACGAGGCGCATGCCGCCAATGCGACAGTATCTGGACCGGAGCCCGTGGCGGATCTGGTGTTGATGGCGCGGCAGTTCATGCGTGAACCAGAGTGGGTGATGAACGCGGCGAAGAAGCTGGGGGCAAAGGTGGAGGTGCCGGTGCAGTTCTGGCGGGCTGGACTGGTTTAAACCATTGAGCGATCTAGATGTAAGATTATAGACCCATCTAATCCACTATTGCATTAAGAGCGATGAATTGATATAAGAAATTTACTAGCGATAATCTCAATTGCCGAGCCGACCCGAGCAAAACGGCGGCATACGGAGACCTCCGAACAGTGCAGGATCAGAGCTACTTACTTCTTCGGGGATGGCATCGCGCAATCAGAACCTTGGGGGCGCCACCGACTAATGGATAGTTAGTACTTAGTGAGTACTTAATTGCAGCTGTAGCTACTTATTAATATGGATGATTACTTCCTCCCACCCTTCATTCAACTACCCCGCAGTTCCATCTCTGCAACACCAACAACTTCCCATCCCTTGATTCCTCATCCTCTGCATTCCTTCTCCCACCCACACTAGCAATAACCATGGCTCTCAAACCCGGCGATTCCTTCCCCTCCGACGTCGTCTTCCAGTGCGTTCTCCATTACATAAGTACACTCTTCGTACAGTATATCTAACGGCGAGCCAGGTACATCCCCTGGAGCGAAGAAAAGGGCGACATCACCGCGTGCGGCATCCCCATCAACTACAACGCTTCGAAAGAATGGGCCGATAAGAAGGTCGTTCTATTCTCTGTTCCCGGTTTGTACCCACCCCAATTTACTTGTCTTCAAATAAACATCCGGCCAACAGAATAATTATGATAGGTGCATTCACCCCCACCTGCTCCATCAACCATGTCCCCGGCTACATCCAGAACCTTCCTCAACTGAAGGAGAAGGGCGTGCAGGTTGTCGCAGTGATCGCCTCCAACGATCCTTTTGTCATGAGCGCCTGGGGAAAGGCGAACAATGTTAAGAATGATGATATTGTGAGTCCCTCCCCGCGGAAATATTTTCCTTGCTCCATTGCTCACGATGCTTCGATGGTAGCTTTTCCTGACTGATCCCGATGCCCGCTTCTCCACCACTCTCGGCTGGGCCAACGCTGGTCGTACCGGGCGCTTCGCCATTGTCATTGACCATGGCAAGGTGACCTATGCGCAGATTGAGACGGAGAAGGGTGCTGTTAAGGTATGTTCCACATTTATGTAACCGCCTTTGCTGGGAATTGTGGTGTGTATACTGACGAATGTAGGTCTCGGGCGCTGATGCTATCCTGGCGAATCTGTGAACGTTGGGCGTTCACTAGATGGGATGCAGTAGAAACAGTCTCACTTGCAAGGTGGAATTACTAGATAGTACAGCATGTGGATAGTAATGAAGTGAACTGCCCGAGGTGGAATCAAGTATAAACTTGTAGGTGGTATATATATATCCACAAAAACTGATTAGAGAGTGCTATCGCGTCACACTTGCACTTGAGTGACTCTTAAATCCCCATGCCTACACACATCAGTAAGATGGTACTAGTTTTTATCTCCTGCTACAACACAATAGTAAGGATCACTCCGTATCGAGGCTCTGATCAGCCGAGCCAGTCCCACAGCTCATCACACTATAGCGGTCAACCGGACAAATGGAGAGATAGACAACCTAGGTCCTCACACTAAAATGCTGACAGGATTATCAATCCCAACCGGACATAAGCATATTGTCTCCGCAGCCACTAACAGCCCTGAAAAGCTTGAACATAACCCATTTTGAAGCAATAGAAACCCCCCGACCAGGATCGAAGCCAGCTGAATAATGAACCCTTTAGGGATCGATGCCTGACACTAGTCCCGTCTGGGGAAAGTCTCCTGTGGCCCCACGACATTGAGTGACTAATCAGCAGTCACCCCACCAGAGCTATGCCTGTTTGATGTCATCATGTCCAATTTGCCCAGCCAGAACCCCGCCAGGCCTTTAAATTCAAATACAAAGTCGTCCCTTCTCCCCCAAATACAGAGTAGAAAGCAAACCTCATATCCTCAATTGATTTTCGATCAATCAACTCCATAATAACAATATATCCAAAATGGCCCCCAAAGTCCTCGTCGTCCTCACCTCCCACGACCACCACAATGCCAACAACAACCCCACCGGTTGGTTCTTGGTAAGCTTCCTCCCCAATCCCCTAATATATATCTTCCAAACCTCCTCCCTAACAAAATAATAATATAGCCTGAATTCGCCCACCCATGGGACGTCCTTCACTCCAAAGCCGAGCTGGTAATTGCCTCCCCAGCCGGCGGCAAAGCCCCGCTAGACCCGGGCTCCATCGAAATGTTCAAGGAGGACCCCGTGTCCCAGAAATTCCTCAAGGAGCAGGAATCCCTCTGGACCAACACCGTCAAGCTGTCGGATGTTGTGTCGCGGGTTTCTGAGTTCGATGCCATCTTCTACGTTGGTGGTCATGGACGTATGTATCCCATATTTTACCCGTCTATACCCAACATAATGCTAATGAAAATCTCTGGGTTATAGCTATGTATGACCTCTACAGCGACAAGGCTTCCCTGGCCCTGATCCAGGCCTTTGCAGTGGCTAAGAAGCCCGTCGCGGCGGTGTGTCATGGTCCTGCGGTGCTGGTGAATGCTACTACTCCCTCCGGAACGGCGTTGTTGAAGGGTGCGGAGGTGACTGGGTTCTCGAATACCGAGGAGGACCAGGTGCAGCTGAGCTCGATTATGCCGTTCATGTTGGAGGATGAGTTGAAGAGGGTGGGTGCTACCTATGTCAAGGCTGAGCAGCCGTGGGGGGAGAAGGTGGTGGTGTCGCAGGTTGCTGAGTTGGGAGGAGCGGTGATTACGGGACAGAACCCGGCGAGTGCGACTGGGGTTGGAAAGGCTATTTTGACGGCCTTGGGGTTGTAAGTTGATTTTGTGTGGTGATGGGGTTGTTATGAAATAATGTCATTTCGATACGATGAGAATGATACATGCTACGTTGTTTTATCTACAAAAAATCGTGGTTATGAATACTTATTGTGTCTGACAAATCTAATCTCATCTAAAGTTGCATCAACGGATTGCATTCCGGAACGCCCAGACCACATTGCATAGATCATGGAAATACTCAAACCCGGAAATCAAGCACAACAGTAGCACTTTTCAACCTTGCTTGACAAATTGCTCCTGAACCTCCAAACTATGCTTCGCAAATCGGCTCTTCGCACGGATCCGCTCCCCATACAACAGAAACAACAACGGCACACTGCAGAACACCGTGGCCAACGCCGCCAACAATGAAGCCGCAACATTCGCTCCCAGCCCATCAAACATCTGCCGCGTAAACAATGGGAAAGCCCCCGACATCCCTGCCCGGACCAATTGCACCGCCGCCGTGCCACTAGCCGAATAGCTCAGATAGCTATCTGCTAGATATCCATATAACACAGTATCGAATTCGTTCAATGCGTATCCAATTAACACGAGAGATACCGTAGGTACCATCCAATGGATATCCTCTGCCTTCGGGGGAATGGTCCAGGCGAACCACCACAG